CCAACTTCATAATCATCCAGTTTCCAATGGAAATGGAAAAACTTTTAATCACTCAGGACTGGGATTTAGTAACACCCAGATGAAAGGTCACTACGGTTACCGTATAAAACCCAAAATATCTAGATAACAGTATATCACCTACTTGACACTGCAAATGATACTCAGATAGAAAGTCGAAGCAGGCAACGCGATACGCCTACTAAATACGCATATGAATAGTTGGAGATAATTTATGTCAAACATTAGAAACCACTAGCGATCTGAATACCATTTGTCCGTTTCTGTCATTTGGAATCGATGTACATAATTTTATAACTTATAGAAATGATCAAAGCAAATACTTATTCGACTACATGGAGTATTTCATCATGAGCTGACATCAGTTAGAGAACCACTGGAAAACCTGGGAGTACTGGAGAGCTATTTCATCGTAGCTTGAAACTCCGTCTCAGGAGTATGCACCTAACGCCAGGGTTCGGACCTAGGATCTCCTGGTAACAAGACTGGCTAACTGGTACCCTGTTAAACCACTGGGACCCGATCCAATGGTCCTTGAATTCTAACAAATGTCGATTCACGAAGAAAAGCGACCATTTGGCATTGTTTTCTTCTATGAGTTAATTTGCATAGAATCATATTTTGAGTGTCGGAAGAGGTATTCGTCACTGCCGAATAACTGTTGCATGGTTGGTTACACTGGCCTTCCTCGTCCGACTGAAGTGTATAGTGAGTGGTGTGATGTTGGAAGACACAACAATTTTCCAATCGTCTATTCGAGTGTTTCCGATTCCCTCTAGAAACTGAGTTAGCAATTAGTTAGACTGATCACAGGATAAAGCTAGATATTATGCTCTGCTGACGAGCTCCTTGGATAAGTTGTGTGTTGTGGTTTCTGGGAGTTGGAGGCTGTGTGGCCGATTCTCCTCTTAGTAGTGATGAGCTACTACTGCCGTTGGAGAAGGCTGCCATCATTTTCTTCCATGACGATTGTGCTGTTGTCAACGTGTGCACATCGAACAGTAGATAGTGTGCCACTCAGAGCAATACAACAATCTTGACCAACATGATTGTGATGATCAGTATGAGTGTGATTGGAATCTCCAATGGCAGCTTATATTTACGTGTGTGTGAAAGTCAACGCGTTGCTCGATAGAGACTAAGGGTGTCGTGGGATGTTGAGAGTTGACGTCATTCTGTACGAAGTCATGCATGATTTCTACTTCCGATGTGAATTTGAACACGTATTCTGTATATGCAATAATTGACTCGAATCAAGCTATGACTTCCATATTTTCATCTCACAATCTCGTCTTCTTTTTATTATGGAGCATTTCACTGTCCTGCACGGAAGTCATTTTCGAGAATGATAGTCCGTAATTCGGACTGAAATTCAAATGTGCAGTAATTCAAGTGTCCCCGCCACGCATAACTCCACACCCACTTGCTTAATCACAATGGAAATTGCATCAACAATTCCGGACTCTTCCCATCAAATAGAATTTCGGAAAGTTTATTTTGATTTATAGGCACGTGAAGTCCTGCATGACTAATGTCACATCGAGGGATCACGTTGCTGTCTTAAAGAATGTTGAAATTACCACTTTCGAAAATTCATGGTGCCTATTTCCCCTCGAGTTTCTCACAAACATTTTGTTGCAAGTTATATTTCGAATTCTGGCGATAAAACGCCCACTCAAATGAAAAGGCATACAACCGAAGGCGCCAGTGCAACTTCATCTCTAAACATTCTTTACACTGACATCAAATTAACACAAAATAGACTATATTTTAAAACACACACATTGAAATTCTGAGTGTCAGTAGAACTTCTTCCTCATCTTCCTCTGCAATTTTCACCTTTTCAAACACACACACACACACTTATAAAACAGTAAGACATAGCCATTTCCAGTTTGGTCATAATTCCAGACGCCTTAAGAGAGTATGGAGTATTATATGATATTAGAGAATTACTAAGTCAGTGGATATGTAAGGTTCATGCGACTGACAGCTATGATTTCACTTTCATATACGAGAAATTAAACAGTCTAACAATTCTGATAGCACACATTTGATATTTACAAAAGACCATCAATCCCCTCGTTATGATTACTTCTCTACATGTGTGGAAATGACAGTAGAGAACCAAATGTTCTAAATATCCTTATTTGAAATCCTGCATAATCACTTGCAAAAAATGAAACCATCGAAGGGTATAGATTTACTTATAAGTTTACACAGAACAAGGCAGCCTTATATTTTCTCTAGTTGATAAGGGTAGCGTAATATGGGGTTGATATAGTATAATATCGAAGATAGAATGCATACAACAACTAGACAGCTTACAGCCGATAAGCAATGAATTTCCAGTATTGCATATGAATATGAGATTTACCATAAGCTGATTTGTGTAGTATACACATGATTTTAAACTATTGACATGAATTGTTAACCTTGAATTCTGAATAAATACGCCTGCAAAGAAAGTGACCTGTCTAAGCTTTACGGAGACAAAAGTGTTCTTAACACAGGTTATTAACTTATCCTTGGAATGAATATATATCGCACAAATTTTCACAGGTAGATCGTAACACGAAATGATGAAACATACGTTTACTCAAATAACGTGGATAAAAAGTAAAAAGGGAAGAAGATGGGAAGTTAAACACTAGTGTTTACAGGAAACCCACACATTCAAACAGATATTCGGACTTCTGATCACCCGATTCTATGTCAGTGAAAAAACGGGTTGGTGAAACTTTTAATTAATTAAATACGAGAACTAAGTAGTAACAAGGAAAGTCTACGACAGGAAGTGAGGCGTATAACAGAAGCTTTGAAACTTAATAATTACCGTAATACATTAGTCAGAAAGTATGTAGGGAAATGTAAAAATGAAATAAATAATCATAGTAGTGATAGTGATAGTGGTAATAATGGAAATAATAACTGAAATAATGATAGTAATATTAATGACGACATACCTGTCAAACAAGCGCAGGATAATGACAACACAACAACAATAAGGAATCTAAATCATCAGTATTCATTCCATATAAGGAAGGAACCTCGGAAACCTTACACAGAATTCTTAACAATACTGGCAGGAATAAAAGTGGCATTCAGACCCAGAAAATCAATTAGAAACAAGCTTGGTTGGCTAAAGGATCCTGTGGAGCATTGAAAAGTAAACAACCTGTAACCGCAAGGTGCTGTGTTTGAACCCCGTTAGGTGCGTACCGATGAAGAGTCCCAAACTAGGACGAAACAGCTGTTTAGTACTCCCAGGTTGGTCAGTGGTCCTCTAATCGATGTCAGCTCATGATGAAATCCTGTAACCAATCAACCAAAGCCCTGCAAAACAATACTTGAATATCAATGAGATGCTCACTGGTGACTGGCCCTATTTAGGTAGCTAGTTAGTTAGCTTGGGTTCCATTATCACCAGAGTATAATTCAATTGTCGGTAATATGCATTTTGATTGAGTGTCATACAGTCTCTCATACAGTAATATTTCCTGAGCAATAGATTGTTCTCGAAACATCATCAGTAAATATTACTGTATAACGGTGTGACACTTTATTATATTCTACCACACTGCACAAGTTCTATTCTTATATCAACAGAGTAATTTAACCACATTCTATGCATGTAAATAATTAGGTCTTCTAACCTTAACAATAACTCTAATCGAATAACTGATCTATAGAGAAATCGTACCATGTGCGATATACCCATTCATCTGGATAGGTGACTATAGTTCATTGGTACTTTGAGATTCATTGATATTTCTGACACTATTCTTCATTCGACTCCTAACTCTAACCAGAATCACAACTTCTGATCCTAAATTCAACCCTGATTGTAATCTTAACCTTACACCCTAAACCTTTATCCCAAATTCCATTACACAACTTAACAGCATAGATATGCAGAAAAAATACTCAGAGAATATCTGGAATCCTGTATGTATCCTTCTCAAGTCCAAAAAGGCAGGCATGACTTGATTTGGAATGACACTTCATATCATACCCTGTATTTCATCGGTTCTTGAAGAGCATCTTTTGAAAGACCTTTACTTTGGCTATGATACTTTTACTTCGCCATAATTTGGTGGTATAGATTTAATTTATGAATCAGTAGAGAGCAGGATGACACGACTGAAAATTCAAATATCAGATCAAAACGAGATGATTAATAATGTCAATAGAAGGGAATATAATTATGAGAAATTCTATGAGAAAAATCTGTCGTAGTAGTGGAAGTAATCAGGGAGCAGAATTGACTATTTTATCAAGGGAGAATTTGCAAAGCTCACTGTCATGCTGAATTTACCGCCTGAAGATATGCTGTCTGTTGGTGGAGAAGGACAATGAAGGCGGTTAGACCGATTCCCTTGAACTATAAAAATGTCCACTATCATATTGTTTATCAGTTGGAGTATTTTCAAAGGAAATGTCCAAATGACTAAATTTGTCGTTTATTACTACCATTTCTGCCATTTTTGTAAGTATCTAAGGTCACCACAAAGGCGAACATAATTCTCTTCAATTGTGTTCATTACAATTTGTCTTCTGTATCGTAGGGAAGACATTCAGAGATAGTCAAGAAGAAGTCATTCGAAAAGAGTTCACCAAAGGAGGAAGCATTGTTGAATGAATTAAAGACAACTGAAATGCGTGTCAGTATCCTGAAAATTAACAAGATTTTTTTCACACATTTTTGACAAATTTCTAACCGGTACATATGGACGAGAGATCACCTGGTGGTGGTATTTGTATAAAATGATTGATTTTATACCAGGAGTTGTAAATTGCTCACGTCAACCAGTAATGCTTGGTATAGCCATAGGGATATATATATATATATATATATGCTGAGATTTTGTAAATTCCGGTTTAATAATACTTTGAGAAAGCTATTAGCATTAAATAGCGAAACGTCAGTAAAAACAATATCGTTTTGGGAAATACAAAAAGCCTTTATTCTAATGAATATCACTTAACTAATTTAATGGATTCACGTAAAATGCTTTGCGATCAACTACGTGCTATTGAAAGCAAAATAGAAGGTTGTCAACAAAATGATGAACCATACGATATGTATGTTAATGAAATGAACAGTCTAACAGAGACAATTCAATCACAAACACAACAGATAAGTGATGCTGGTGTACGATCATCAACTGATGCAGGAGGTTGTTGTGGTGTCGCTGCATCAGATCCTGATTGTCAGATATTATCGTGTCGTTTAGTACAATAACATAATATTCAAGAAGCAGGCATAGCTTTGAAATATTTATTTGAAAAAAGTAAATCTTTGATTGTTAGTTTTGTATGCAAAAAATGTTTATTGTCTTTAGTCGTTGTGTAACACCAGAAGACAAGGACCAGGCAACAGATCGTTTATTAAGGTAATCAACACGTATTTATATATTTTCACGTACATTATTATAGATTATTTAAGCAAACAAATACAGTCTTCTAATTGGTTGTTTCTCACTGAAAGTTAATCTTTCATCTCTTAGTGGCTGTTTCTTGAATATCACATCATCTATATGCTAACTGTATCCGCCTATGCAAAGTCTGGTTTGGTTGGTTGTTGAATAAGTCTTTGTTCATATTTTCTCACGACCAATATTGGGGACGTAAAATTTGACGTAAATTACTGTCTGCCAATTTGGCTAGCAGCCTGCTCTCTCCACACTCGTCCCCCGTCAAATAGTTTGGACTGAAGTCGGCTTGATCTTCTTGGTGCTGGCGTCATCGTTGGCTTGTCTCGCTCTATCCATTTCTGGAGCTCGCTGATGTTCACCCGCTTCTCTGTGTTTGCATTTTCGGTGGTATATACTTGACCCGTCTCTCAGTGACCGTGTATGGTCCTTCCCGCTTCGGTAGCAGTTTTCGCGACCCTGGTGCGTATCCGCCGGTGTTTCGCCTATCTCTACATTTGACTTGATCTCTGATCTCGAATCCGGGGTACTTCCCCTTTCGCCTCAGTTCGGTTTTCACAGTGTCCACTTTCTGTTTTCGTTTTACGTTGTTGATGGCTTTTCTCTCATTGCTCCATCTCGTCATACTCCAATGCTGATGGAGGGGCCAGGTCTTGTTAAGTATCGGTATCCGTGGTTTCCTCCCAGCTAACAGCCTTTGTGGCCAGCCACTCTTTCAGGGTGTGGTTATTTCTCTCGGTCAGCCCGTTCGTTTGTGGGTGATATGGCGTTGTTCTAATTTTCATGATACCTAACTGTTGCAACCGACCTTCAAACTCTTCGCCTTCAAACCAAGGACCTTGGTCTGTCAATATTGCTTTTGGCACACCGTGATTTGCAACGATATGTAGAACCACTGCTTCTGTGACCGTTTTTGTGCGTTGATCAGGGATCGCGACTGCGTCTAGCCATCGTGTGGCATGTTATGTCATGACCAGAAGATATTGATTGCCATTGGACGTTAGTCGAAAAGGTACCATTAGGTCTACGGAATCGACTGCGGTGACGGTCGTATGTACTGATCACCTTTCATCAGCTGACATTGCGTACACGCTGTTACGTACTTCTCGACGTCTTTTCTCATACCTGACCAGTACGTGGTTTGTCGCAGGAGATCGTCCGTTCGAGCAACACCTGTTAGAGCTAATTGGTGACATTCCTGTATCATCCATCTCTTGGCGCAGGCATTGGGGTATTACTGCTAAGCAGCTTCCTTCATCCTCCCGCCACGTCAACATTCTGCAGGCATTGAAGCCTAGCCGATTCACCTTTTTTCGTTAGTTAGCTCTTGTATGACAGCTTTCAAGGTGTCGTCTGATCTTTGAATCTGGACAAGTCTTGCTGGGTTTTGCTCTTAGGCATTTTTACACCATATGCTATTTCAGGTAACTCTACCTCTTCTATTGTAGATAAAATATCTGGTAACACATTCGCTTTTCCTGGAACATGAGAGATCGTGAAATCATACTGTTGCAGGCGCAGCATCCACCATGACAACTTCCCACGCGGGTCTCTGGCGGTCCTCAGCCACTGCGACGGCTTATGATCAGTCTCGACGCGGAAGCATTGACCCAGTAAGTAGGGTTTCCATTTGTCTAGCACCGACACAATTGCCAAACACTCCTTCTAAATTGTTGAATAATTCTGTTCCTTGTGCGTTAAAACACGGCTGGTGTACTCGACGACTCCGTCACTCTGTCTGAGTACTGCGCCTATTCCGTAATCGCAGCATCGGTAGATACTATGAACGGCTATCCCGGCACCGGTAGTCGCAGCGTCATTCTCTGGTGATCCATCAGCTGTTTGATCCGGTCAAATTTATGAAAATTACAATTGGGAATTAGAATGCCCTATTAAAGAGGGGGGGCGGATGAAACAAACAAATTAGCATCATAATAACTAAGAAGATTGACATTATGCAATTAGGGGTTAGAAATGTAGAAATAACAAAATACAAAGAGAATTTTCTTCGCTGCAAGTGTCTTCTTAATAAATCCTATGACCCAATGTGTATATTCCGTGATTTGAAGAGATGCAAAGACCGTTCGACGGTAAATGGACTGAACAAGTTTCTACGTTTGTCCCTCAAGTTTGCTGAGGCGAACGCAATAATTTTCTTCTTGAAGAATTGTCTCGAAAATATGAATATCCCAAAGTATTTTGGAAGCACCTCAGACGAAATCACATATCCCCTAACTCACGTACATGGAAACGACACACTCTGAATCCCATCGATGCAACGCAATCAAGACTATCTGAAGTAAAGCAGAATATCTCAAAAAGCTCCCACGTTCTCTATGAGTTATCTGGAGACGAGAGAACATCATTAGAAAACTACTCTAATAAGGTAACAAAGAAAAGAACAGATGATGTTATAATGAAACTAAACCAAAGACTAAATTCCGTTGCAAAAGAAACTGTCTCTCGTACCTGTCCAGAAAAATACGTGTACAATTATTCTGATGTTCCACTATCTCCAATTCAAATGCAAATTTTAGCACTTGGACCTAGGTTTTGTAATGCAACGTCAAAAGTGAATGAACTGAACACGAAAGTCCAATTCGAGAGTTTAATCGACCAGACGAAAGATATGGTCCCAATCTCATATGAGAATGCCAACCTTTTCAAACCAACCGTTTTAAATTGCTGTCTTGATTACATCAACAGAAAAACCAGTCTTCGTAACGTACTTTCCAAAGAACATCGAAAGCAGCCGAAAGAACTGAATAATACTGAAAACTTGATCATCACTCGACCAGATAAAGGCTCCGGAATCGTCTTGATGCACAAATCAGACTACCTAAGCAAACTCTCGGTGATACTATCTGATGATAAAAAGTTTCAGAAACAGTCTCCACAGAAAGATCCCACCGAACAGACGGAGCTCCAGCTAACAAAGGTATTGAAGAAAATGAAAGACTAATCCATTATCAGTTCAAAACTATACGAACAACTGCGCCCATCTGGTTCTTCAACGCCGCGCATGTACGGCTTACCTGAAGTGCACAAACAAGACGTCCCACTCCGCCCAATACTAGATATGATAGATTTCCCATATCATACAATCGCGAAATGGCTGGTGGAGATTCTCGAGCCGGTGAAAGAGAAGCTGTCAAGACACAACCTCCGTGACACATTTGACTTTGTTGATTTAATAAGGAATGTCAGTGTGGCAGAAAACAACATGGTCTCCTTGGATGTCGTCTCTCTCTTCACCAACGTTCCATTTACAGAAACCGTATGTTTCTTTTGTGACTACATTCAATCCAATATCATCGATCTCGGTATACCGATACATTACCTGAAAGAACTCTTACTACGATGCACCTTCAACGTATACTTTAGTTTCAACAAGGAAATATACAGGCAAGTAGATGGAGTAGCAATGGTTTCTCCCCCTAGGACCCCTCCTAGCCAACTGCTTTATGGCTAGCTTAGAAAACAACCCCTTATCAAAAACTATCAACGACCTCCATCTCCCCAGAAGAGATACATCGATGATAATTTCATTCTTTGTGATGAGAATTTTCACTTAAAATACCTAGTTCAAATCTTCAATAACGCCCATTCAAACATCGACTTTACACTTGAGACTGAATCCGATGGAATGTGTCCACTTCCTCGACGTCCATCTGACAAGAAACACCAACAACTCTCTGAAAAGATCCACATACAAAAACTCTACATGGAATGGATAATTCATCAACTTTCAAAGCTTCGTGCCCCTGAGCAGAAAGAGGGACCTGATATACGCCCTTTCCTCGAGGATTCGGAAGTGGCTGAGAAAGAATTGCGTAATCTTCGAAAAACCGTGATGGAAAACGGTTTCCCACCCAGGTTAATAGACAAGAATCTCAAATCTAGGAAGACTTCCGAACAAGTCCAATCCGTTCCAAAGAAAGTGCTTCTGCTTAATATAGAATTCAGAGGTGATATTGAGGCAGAAATCCTTCATAAACGCCTCTCCAAATCGCTGAGGAAAACATACTTCGCCGCTAGCCTACGACTGACGTTTTCCTGCAATAAACTGTTCAGCCAGAACGCGAAAGACAAGCTGTCGCATTAGGCCACCTCAACGTGCTTATACCAGTTTACTTGCTTTGGTGGAGCTGAGTACATTGGCCGTGCCATGCGCCGACTTGAAAAACGCGCTCGTGAACACTACCCAGCCTCGTCAGTTAAAGGAGGCCAAAAGCGTGTGTACAGTTCAGTGACAGAACATCTGGTCAATTCGGGGAATTCAGCGCCTTTCGAAAAATCCTTCAAAGTAATATATAAGATTCAATCAAACCTATCAAAGGGAGTGAAATTAAGACACCTGGGCACAGCCGAGGCGCTAGCTATCCAAAAGCTCAAACCCACGCTTTGTATCCGAAAGAAATACGTCCAAACCCTGTCCCTGCCATGGTCATCATAAACAGGTAACATTTTAGTAATGACCATCCCATAGGCTTTCTTATCTGAACTTCCTGTTTATTCATGTTATTTTTCCAAGTTTTTCTTAATCCCTGTTTACAGTATCATATTTTCATAACCCAACTTCGTGTTTATTTTAACATTTTACTATTTCTACATATTTAATCCCAATAGAATAAAGAATTATACACCAAATTAGTTTCTTCGATACAAGCATCCTGTCTATTTTGTTATTTGTACATTTCTTACCCCAATTGCACAATTTCAATTTCCTTAGTAATTGTGAGGCTAATTTGTTTGAGGTTTATCCGTGCGTCGGTAGCACAGTGGTTAGGACTCTCGCCGACCATGCACATGGTCCGAGGTTCGATCCTCTGCCGACGCACACCTGATATCTTCTTCACCTCACTAAGCTAGAAATAATGCTGGTAAAGAGGAAAGGTT